CCTGAGCCAAGCCACTTTCATTGATCCCAGGTGGCGATGAGAGAAGTTGGGAACACACTTCCTTTCTGTTCTGCCCCACACACCCATCTCTCCATCGGTCTGGTGTGGCTCTTCAAGATTGTGGTGGTGCTGAAGCATCTAGACAGTCTTGGGTCACGTGGGTCTCTGACTGCTCAGGGCTGGTCTCTTGGGTCCCTGTCTCATCAGGCCAGGAGCCTTCACACCTGCTGGGTGCTGCAGACCTCTGGAAGTGGCTACTCTTCCAAGCGTTCACTAAGTGGGTGAAGAAATACGTTACCCTAGTGGGAGGGGAAGGCTAATCCTCCCTGTATTTGTTTACTTCTCAAAAAACTTGAACAACAGGTTTAACTTAGCTCTGTGCCATTTTAATGCAAATTTTATACAGGTATAGTTATGGCACTCCTTTTTGTTTTATATGCCAGATGGCAAAAAATCTGTTGTGAGTAAGAATGCCTGTGGTGTGACTTAGTATCTGTGAGCTCCCGAGGCTCTGCGCTCTCCCTGGAGGTCATGTCGCCGAGACAACCTTCTCACGCACCCTCCTCACATTAAGTCAGCAGAACTGTCCAGCACACTCCAGACAGGATTCTTCAGTGCAGCGATTTCCAAACTTCCTGAATTTTGAGACTCATTGGAAGGAACTTGTTAGAAACACAGGTATCTGGATCTTAATCCAAACTTAGTGGATCAGCATCTTCATGGGAGGGGCCCGGGAATTTGTATTTTTACAAGTTCCTCGGGTGATTCTTAAAAATTGGGCAAGTTTAGAAAGCATTGCTTTAGTGCAGCAAAAAGCATGTTTTTAGTGCAAAAAAAGCATTGCTTTAGTGCTTAACTACAGGTGGTAAGAGTGATAAGAGCACAGACTGTAGGAGGCAATGACAGAAATGTGGATAACAAATCCAGTTATGTGGAATAACTGAATTCCTTCTGTCTGGTCTTGCTCTCTGACTAAGGGATACCTCGCTATCTGGTGGGAGTTCCTTCCGATTTTAGTGCCCAGTGATTTATGTACTATTCCTCTCTTGCTTTTCTGGCCACCTTCGAGGTCTAGCTGTCGAATTTCAGTAAACTTTTGGTTCACTAAATTTCTCTCCCTGGGCGTTTCAGCTCCTGCTAATGTAAAGACCCATTCCCCACTCATTCTCCCATTTCCAGTTTTCCACCCAAGCACATGTGTCTCGTTGATTTATTGTTCTTTCACTGCCTTCATTTTACCAATTCATTCAGTCACTCATTCAGTAAGCATCTGTTGTGCCGGGCTGCAGGCGGGCTACAGAGATAAACAAGACACAGGCCCTGCCCTCAAGTGCACAGTCTAGTAGGGACATAGATGTGTAAACAAATAATTAAAATACCAGTGATGTGCTGAGTGCTGTCACAGAATTGTGTGCAGAGTTGTAGGGGCACCAGGAGGAAGTGACTAACAATTGGTGGCAAGTGTCACAGAGGAGGTGACTTTTGAGTAGGGTCTTGTACTCAGAGAAAAGGGAGGGGGCATTTGTAAGTTATATCACCATAGTCCTCACTTCTCTTTGCAGTGCATCTTCTCCTAGGGCTCTTCAGTGTCTTTGCTCGTTTATGGAACAAATGGAGCTAATTGGCATGGCTGAATCAGACTCTCTTTATTGACCTTTTTCAAAACCCGAGATGGTTGGTTGTTGAGTAATGTCCATGATACCAAGTCTAGCAGTTTGTCCCACGATCATTTACCGACAGTGAATGGTTGATACTCTGAACACTGAAGAAAGCTTTTAAAGGCCTTTCACTTTATCAGATGTGTTCTGAGCCAGCAGAAGTGGTCTTTGTGCTTTTCAGGGAGTGGCATGTGTGCGCGCGTGTGTGCGCATGTGTGCACGCACGTGTGTGTGTGTGCGCGCGCGTGTGTGTGTGCGCGCGCGGTGGAGGTAGGGGAGCTTGTGAGTGGGGAATGGGACAGGAGAATGCTTGTTTCTTTTGCAATAAAAGACATGATTTCCTGTTTCTCAGGAATGTTTCCTTGGTAGGCTCCCACATCTCTATTAGTTTTGTGTGTTATTAGAGATTACCTAAACTCTGCAGTTTGCTAATTTGACAAGGCTTGGTTTTGATTTCCAAAAATCACTGTGGGTTTTTCTTACTTCACTCGGAAAACAGATGAAGGGCCATTGTGATTAAATTTGTACAGTCTAGTAAGTAGTCATGATTGCAGTTTTAAAATGTTTGTTTCTTGAAATAATGGATGCTCATTGTAGAAAACTTATAAAATACAGGCAAGTAAAATTGCAGAGAAGCTAAAACCAATCCATAATCTTGCAGGCCATAACTAACCACTCAATATTTTGGTGTATAAAAATCCAGAATTTTTTCTGTGCATATACATATATGTATAAAAATGTTGTTATTCCAGAAATTGAATATACTGTGTAAACTGTTTAGTATCTTGCCTTTTTTCCTGTTATATAATTTGACCATCTTATTATGTTAACAAATATATATCTACAGAACTATTCATTCTTAATGAAAAAAACTTTATTGTCGAGATTATACGAGTCATTCAGGCTTTTTTTTTTTAAAATCAAACTCTGTTAAAGTATATAAAACAAATGAAAATCCCCCATAATCTCATTCCCCCAAGGATAAACGTTTAATATGTGTATATATATAGCCTTCTAGACTATTTTCTTTATATATGCAAACATTTCTATTACCTTTTTTTTTTTTTACAAAATTAGTTCCTATTATACCTAGTGTTCTGCAACTTGCCTTTTACCCTTAATATATTTTATTTTTAAAAAGTTTTTTAATATTTTTATTTAGTTAGTTATTTGGTTGCGCCAGGTCTCAAGTTGTGGCTTTTCGGTTCCCCAGTTGCGGCACATGGGCTCCTTAAGGCGGGCTCCTTAGTTGTGGCACATGGGCTCCTTAGTTGCAGCAGGGGGTTCCCTAGTTGTGGCTCGTCGGTTCCTTAGTTGTGGCATGTGAACTCTTAGCCACAGCATACATGTGGGATCCAGTTCCCTGACCAGGGATCGAACCTGGGCCCCTTGCATTGGGAGTGTGGAGTCTCAACCACTGCGCCACCAGGGAGGATCCCCCCTTAATATATTTTAGAGAGCTTCCTGTGCCAGTACATTTGGAATACCTGCATAATATTATGTGGATCAGGGTTTCTTGTCCTCAACACTACTGACATTTTAGACTGGTTAATTCTTTGTCGTGGGCCTGTCCTGTGCATTGCAGGATGCTTAGCAGCATCCTGGCCTCTATCTTTTAGATGCTAATAGCATCCCTTCCTCTAGTTGTGACAAAAATGTCTCCGGACGTTGTCAGTTGTCCCCTGGAGGGCAAAGTCATTCCTAGTTGAAAGCCACTGATACAGATGGTCTATAATGTAAGCATCTAGAGACCTTCCAGTTTTTCCATGACAAAGAATGGGTCAGGGAATATTCCTATATTGATTTTTGTACACCTCTGTGAATTTTATCATTGAATAAATTCCTAGAAGTGCAGTTGGTGAATCAGAATTTTGATAGAAATTGCCAAATTATTCCAGAGATTGTATCGATTTATTTTTCAACTATATCCTGATGGTTCCAAATCAGTATCTCTTTCTGAAGTTCTAGATTCATGTAGCCAACTGTTGATTGGACATCTCCTCCTGTGTGTCTCAGCCCTTTCCTAAGCTCAACTCTCATCTTCTTCAACCCACCGAACATGCACTTCTTGCTGTATTTCTCTGTTAGAGAATATCATGACCATCTGCCTGGTTGCTCAAGCCAAAAACCTTCTCCATCCTACACTGAACCAGTCATCAAATCCTATCTAGTCTTCCTCCCTAATGTCTCTCTTAATCCATTCACTTCTTTTCATCCCTTCTACCTCTATCTTTAATTTAAGCTACTAGCCCAGATCACTGTAGTAGCACTGGGGCAAGAACTAGCCTCTCTGGCTTTTACCCTTGGTTCCACGCTCCTCAGGAAGAGTAAACTTGCTGCACTCTGTGATGTGCAAGTGTTACTCCCCTGCTTAAGCCCTTCAGTGCGCCCTGCTGCCTCTCCCCCATCTGCTCCATCAGTCAGATGCTGAGGCCAACACATCTAACATTCATCACCCATGATTTCAAATCTCTGTATCCATCAGAATAGGCTTTTTTCTCCCCACCACATATATTTATTCACCAGATATATTTATTCCCCCAGCTTTGAATTACTCACTGTCCCTTAAATGTCCCTTTGTTCTCCTGCTGCATTTCCTGGTCCTTTTAACCATGCTCTCTGCCCATCCATTTTCTACCCTTTCTTTCGGACCAAGCATATTTCTTGAACTCTTGAGCCACAGAGTTTCTCCTCTATTAATCAGTTTTATCCTTATTGCATTTATTGTATATGTACTTTTTCATTTAACCTTGTGAAAAAGACATACATGAATAGAAATAATACAAACCAGTGAACCAAGTGCAGAGGACATGGGAATTCCAGCTCCAAGCTCCAGCACAGATCCTAGGGTGCAAAAGTGCATTTCAAAAATCCCATCCCAGTGCGTGAACCTTGACTTCTCCCCTTAACTGGACTTTTGATTTTTATGTGGTTCTGTAGAGCAATGTAATTGAATACCTCCCAAGTCAATTGCATTCATTTGGTCAAACTAAAACCTTGGAGAGAAGTTCATTTGTCTGCCAGCCTTGCCACGTTCCATTTTGGTATATCTTAAATACCACGGAAACAAGGGTGCCCTAGGAACTTGGGAATCTCTGACATGGAATGCAGCATACTGCTCTGCTAGATTGGTGTAGGGACAAGCCCTGCAATTTTTCACAAGAAGTCAGCTCCAATCCTGTGGGAAATCACACATAGCAAAATCCTTGGCAAAGAGCTATACATTTTTTTCCTACTCTCTATGTAGTAATTCTGTAACACTCTGTAATTAATTTTATTTCTACAGTGAACAACCACAGAGTAAGAATAATGCATAACCTGTTTCTGTTCTTGCTATTTTAGGGGACATCACACAGAAGGGATATGAAAAGAAAAGGTCAAAACTCCTGTCTCCTTACATCCCGCAGACACAAGGTAGGCAATGAGAAGTGGTTTAAACCTTTCCAGTAAGAATGCTGTCTTACAGGAGACCTGTCTTTTTTGTTGGTTCCTGTTTTTTCCCTCCCTCACCAGGGAAGAGAAAAAACAGAAGGAAGGAAAGGAGGAAATGAATCTTAATTGAGCATCTGCTGTGTGGTAGGCACTTTTAAAATACCCAACGTCATCAAATCATTTATACAGAACCTGAATGGTAGTGTGTCTATGCATAGCTGACATGATTCAATGGCAGAAAATTCCGGGTCACGGAAAAACTGCATCTTATTAATTCCTGAGCATGAACTGTAATGGAGAGGACCAAGTGGGGCAAAGGTAAGAAGGAGGGACAGATTTAGTTTGCAAGGCAACCCAAGGAGTGCAGTCCCTGAGCATGTGGGGGTAAGAACCCTAAATAAACTTTTAAACTATTTCACAGCTTGACTTATTCCTTCTGCAAAGAGACTGGCGTGTTCTTTATATATCAGAAAGTTCTGAGTCACTTCTGTGCTTAATTCCAGGCAGGTTGCTGGAACGTTTGCCTCTAGGCAAGGCTGTGTGTTTCTAAGTCATCATATTTTTAAAGTTACTCAGCCTCCAAGATTTCCTTTGATAGCCTGTTTCTATTTAATCACTTTTACTATAAAGAGTTTTTTCTTTATTTCTAACTTACCCCTGCAGTCAGAGTCCATTTCCACAAGACTGTGTTTTGTGGAACTAATAATTGCTTTTATTTCTGGATTATAATCCTTTAGGACTTTGGATCCCCCATGGTTCTAATATCAAGCCTTGCACAGGGTTTATAGTCTGTAAATATTTGTTGAATGGATAATGGAATAAATAAATGAGCAATGGTGGTATACCAATAGATTTCACTGAAGTCCTTGTTTTATTTCCTGCATTATTCTTGGAAATGCCTCCCTGCAAAAACTAGTAGGTCAATTCAGTGATAGCCAGTTTAAAATATCTTAATGAACAGATGGATGTAGAAATGAATTGAGAGAAAAGAGGTGGAAATCAGGCCAGTGACAGCTAATGAAAAGCCAGCTTTTGCTGAGCAAGGCATGACAGAAGAGGGGAGTCCTCTGATTGGCTGCTTAATTATGGATCTGGTCCATGCCTCTGTAGGCCCAGAGACTTACTGTAGTCACTTTGTGCAAAAGCAATCAGATCCTGAGAAAATAACTCAGTAAGGAATGTAACTGTAAAAAGGACCATGATCTGTCTCTTATCTGTTGTCAGGCTACAAAGAAACCAAATCATGTTCAAAAACCAGTTTATCAATTTACTATGAGAAACCACTGAGACACATTCAAGTCTGTGTGGTCAGCACATTCTTGCCCCAGGGGCAGGCCTACGAGAGGAGCTTGATCACACACAGAAGGTTGCTTAGTGAGAATGGATATGACGAAAGAGACATTTAGTTGCAGCAAGCCAAGAGAATGTGACATAGCATCTCACAGTAGGGATGGTCTTGCATGTGACCTCATGGGGGAAATAGAAGCCATTTGATGGCAGCTCCTTCCTGCTGTTAGACTTCAAACTCACCACATCAGTGCCCATCATGTTTATTACCTCCTCCCTTCTGGTTGAAGAGGTGATCTGTCCCTCCTAGCCAAGGGCAGTCCTTTCACCTGGGCTTTTGGTCCCATCTCCTCCTCCCTTTTCAGAAACCTTATACTATCATCCTGTGACGCCAAGGACAGGGCAGTGGGAGTGGGCCACCCCAGTGCAGGCAGTGAGGGGTGCGGTATCTATAGAAATTTTAAAAGCAGTAATAAAACCAGCAAAAAGTTGGTCGGCTTTTTCTTACCACCATGGATAGCAATTCTAGATGCTGTAAGTAGTAAAATCTCCTCCCACTGAGCCAGACAGCTGCACTGCCCCCTCGGCATGCCACTGCAGTCAGCTCCCTGTCTCTCTTGTACTGTCATTCTCTCCCGCTCAACCAGACTATTCCCCCAGAAGTTCATCATACTCATTACTGTTCTTTTTTAAAAAAAATCCTCCCTTGGGAATTCCCTGGTGGTCCAGTGGTTAGGACTCGGCACTGTCACTGCTGGGGCACAGGTTCGATCCCTGGTCGGGGAACTAAGATCCTACAAGCTGTGTGGCATGGCCAAAAAAAAAATCCTCCCTTGTCGGCCACTTCCACCTCTACCCTGTCTGTCTCCTCTTTATGATCAGACTGCTGAGAACTGTCTATATTTACTATCCCTGTTTTCTCAACACCTTCTCACTTCTCAGCCCATTCCAGTCCCTTCTGAAGCTGCCATAAGTGATATCTCAGTACTATTTGCCACTCTACCTCTTGAAACACTCTCCTCATTTTCTTACTCCTCTCATGTTGCTCCTAGTCATCTTTGCAGGCTCCTTCTCCTCTGTTAAATGTTGGAATTCCCAAGGCAAGACCTCAAGCCCTCCTGACATCTTGCTCTGTGTCAGTGGTTCTCACATTTTAGCCTACATCAGAATCACTGGAGGACTTGTTCATATACAGATTGCAGGACCCCGTTCTCAGGGTTTCTGATTCAGTAGGTCCGGGTTGGGGTTCGAGAATTTGCATTTCTGTCAAGTTCCCAGGTGATGGTTGCTGGTATGGAGAACCAATGCCCTGTCTCCCTAGAGCTTTTCAAGGGAGACTTTTCTTAGTGATAAAAAGTCTCTCAATTTTGTGTTTGTCACTTTCTTTTCCCACCTTTGTTCTTGAATCTATTCATGTCTTTCCCAGAAATGGATTGTTTGTAGGGCTGGGTTATATTGTATAGATTCTGTAGCAGAAGAACAGATTACACCTTGACATTTTTACCCCATATGTCTTTGTAGATTTTGAAGAAGGCATTTAGTTTGATTTTTTTTAATGGCATTGGATTTAATGCAGATTTTAAACTTACTGAATTGTATTAATGCTTTATATAGGATTAAATGAAATGAAAGTCATTTTAACACTTTTAGTAGGAGTTTCCTACTTACTTCTAGAGGGATTCAACCTCTTTCAAACTGTTTCTGTTACCTTGTTAGATTTCATTCCCTTCAGTTGTGAGGTGTGCTTCATTGTGAGGGTGGCTCCTCGAGTGTAGTATTTAAAAGCAACATTCTCCACCAGTCTCTCTTGAAAGAAAAAAGTAATACTGCTTGCATCATTGTACTGCTAGAACAATTACATGCACATGCTTATCTAAAAATTTAGTGAGTGATTTTCCATACAGAATTGATTTGGAGTTATCTTAGGTTGCATATTTATGTATATTTTAGATTTCTTTTCTCAAATGTTCCATAAATCTTTAAAATAGGACCTTCAGCAAAAAATTAACAGTGTAACAGGGAAAATGGGGAAATATGGAAGAGAACACATGGTGGAAGAAAATACTTAGTGGAAATTGAGTAAGGACAATTTGGGGTAATAATAAACATAGCTTATTTCACTAACATCACAGGGGTTAGATTCTAAACTTATTGTATGACAAAAATCTGATGTCTCAAAATTACCCTTGAAAATCACTTAAACCTGTCAACATTGGAACTGATTGTTATTTCTTTAGTTTCTACAAAACCCAAACTTTATCTGGTATTTAAGGGCATGCCGTATGAAATTCATATCTTTGATAAAGGTTAAAACCATACTCAGGGCCGCAAGATGCTCTCACTATGAGAGGCAAGGGAGAAATGAGGATGTGGCAGGTTCATATCTCCTCGTTCTGAGCCATATGCTCTTCGAAAGGAATGACCCATAGAACATCTTTCAGTGGCTTGGAAGCTACGAGAGCCTGGATATAAAGCTTCCCACACACCTCAGTTATTAGCAGCTTTGCAAGGAGAAGAGGCCAGAAATTAACTCTCTTTTGTCAAGGCCCAAAGAATTGATTATTCAAACCACATACACTCTTAACTCCTCTGTAAATTAGTCGCTCTCGGCCACTCTTGGATTTAGAAGAAAATGGAAGGTTTTGTGCAGGGAGGCAACTTCCTGTAGTCTAATCCTTAAGATGTTTTGCATACAAGTAACTGATTAATTCCAAATAGTTTTAATAGAAAAGAGTTTATTCTAATGATACCGGGGTTGCTGACGGAACCTCAGGTCAGCACGTATTTACTATGTGCTTTCTGTGCTCCAAGTACTGTTAAGACATCAGGAGGCAGCCAGCACTGGACAAGACTGCCTGGGACCCCTTGGCTTGCTCCCTCAGTCTACTAGGGGTTTGCTCAGCTACAACTAACACTAAGAAGGCTTCCTTGACCAGCTTTATCACAAACAGTCCCCACTCCCATGATCTGCACTGCATTTATAAAAAGCTCTCTCTGGCTGTCCCGTAGATTATGGTTTGTTTGTGTGTCTTATTCCCCTACTGGACTCTTAAAGTCTTTATAATCAGGAACATTCTTTTTTTATTATTATTTCTTCATGTCCCCAGTTTCTAGCATTAGTACCTGGCACATAGTAGAATTCTATAAATGTTTGTGGAACTAAACAGAAGGAACATTTAGAATTTAGAAGTATTTCCTTTCGTAAACACCTGTGAAGATGGAAGTGTCAGATAATGAAAAAAGCAGATTACTCTACAGATTGGAGAGTGATTGGTCCTGGCAACTTGTCTCTACCTTCAGTAGATCTTTTAATTTAGATCTACTAAATCTCAAGAGACTGTGCACAGCATATTGATTCTCAACAATATTATATAACATTATATCAATATTAGTGTCCCTCTTTACTTAATCTTTATTTTTAAATGAAATTACTGAATCTATTTTACAGAGTCAAATGCTACTACGAGGTTTGTAACAACAACAAAAATAAGCAGTGTCCTCTTCTTCCCCGAGACAGCTTCTTTCAACTGTTTTAACTGTTTCTTCTGGCATTTACCTCTGTAGGTAAAAAAATTAGAATTTTTCTCTTACACATTCTTCCCCCAACCACCTGGACACCACACACTCCCCTTCCCTTTACCCCTTCCTTCACATCTCCCATCTCATACTCATTGTGGGCTGTCTGTTCAATGTAC